CCTGTATTGGCTGAGAAAGTTCATTCAGATTTTCCGGCGTGGTCTCTCTATGTCAGTGATGCAGGACAGAGGGCCTGACAAGGAAAGCTGTCTAGTCGTTCGGACGGGACGAAAAATCGAGGACTCGTGTACACATTGGCGTGCACGTAAAAGATACCTTGACAGTTGAAATTCGATATAAGAGTAGGCCGTAGTGCCGCTGTCCGCACAAAATGTCCCTCATAGCACACTGTATGGTGTATGCCCGTCTTCATTAGCCCAGTAGGACGTTAAACTCCATTTCATTTCATTTTATTTCGATTACTTCCCGGATACAAGCACTTAAAGATACCTTACCGGGTGTAAACACTTAAAGATGCCTTCCTAGATACAAACACTTAAAGATGCCTTCACTGGATACAAACTCTTAAAGATACCCCCCCCCCCCATTATACACACTGTGTGATTTGATGCCTCATAAATGCAAACACATAAGAAACTGGTAATGGTTCATAACGCTTGAATTTCCTACCAGGGTATGTGTTGCTACGTGCCCTCCCTTTCTACCTACCAGGGTATGTGTTGCTACGTGCCCTCCCTTTCTACCTACCAGGGTATGTGATGCTACGTGCCCTCCCTTTCGAAAATGTTCCCCTTCTTCTGAAAAGGTGCCCTCGATTTTCGAAAGAATTTACCGCAAATGCTCAAGGAAATGCCCCTATCAATGTCATCATATTACCATTGGCCTAATATCAATATTGTGCCATATTTTCATGCTGCCGTTCTCTTGTTCAAACCTAAAACCCAATCGTGTTCAAGGTACATACTATCGACCAATCCCTCTTGTTTGTTGTCCCTTAACCTCAGTGTGGCAGGAAATCAATTGACGCTGTTGGTGATCGACTGAGTGTGGCTGGTATCGAATTGTCTCTGATTTCGGTTTGAAGCCACGTATTATCCCAATTCCGCATTTAGAACCGTATTAAAAATGTCGAAACAAAGAACCTAAAACGACCGAAAAAAATTCGGGTCAAAGAAGGCGGTGCTGGTCGTCTGCGAGAGTAAATTTGACGGCCGCAAATTCGTTTTCCTGGTTCCAATCGTGATAGTAAGAACCTAGCATTAAGAAATTAAATGGGGTTTAACGTCCTACAGTTCTGCTCCTATACTGGGCTAATGGAGACGGGCATACGCCATACAGTGTGCTATGAGAGAAATTTTGCACGGACAGCGGCACTATCGCCTACACTTATATCGAATTCCAACTGCCAAGGGATCTTTTACGTGCATTCCAATGTATACACGGGACCTCGGTTTTTCGTCTCATCCGAAGGATTAGACAGCTGTCCTTGTCAGGCCCTCCGTCCTGCATCACTGACAAGGGAGAACCACGCCGGAAAATCTGGATGAACTTTCTCGGCCAATGCAGGGATCGAACACCCGACCTCCAGGCTAGCGAGCTAGCGTCTTACCCACTTAGCCACGTGATACCCTAATATAAAGAAGACGGTATGTGAAATTGTATATGTATGTATAACATCAATGATAAATTTATGGTTGGTGCAATTCATTGTTTATACATTTAGATCATGGTGTGACTTTTATATTATTTAATAACTAGAAGCCATTAATGAAAGGTGTTTCAGTGGTGTCCTCTTACCAAGATAAATCTAGACATATAAGATATATTTATATATATACGCGTTTTCCTGCTATTCCAGTCCATGAATACAAGAACTTCAATGTGGCCCTTTATAGCCTACCTTAGGTGACTTACCTGAATCCAAAACAACCAATCAATCGTCGTGGGGTATGGGGGTACGTCTCGCGCTCAATGAGAAAATTTTGAAAATTTAACCGCCGCATTTGTGTATCTCTAGGTCTGAATTATAATTCCCCACAAAACCTATTCTTTCCCGACTGACCCTGTCCCAAAGTGCCTTTACTTTGGTCTGTCTACCCGCCTTTAGAGGTCCCAGACTCCTCTGCGCATTTCCAGACTTAAGTTAAGATATAAAACTTAAAACTTTTAAAACTTTATAAAACTTTTATTGTTTTAATGTATGAACTACATCAATAACAAACTATGTGCACAGTTTTGTGTTTCTGGTTTAATTTCTTTCATAAAAAGTGATTGAAAGTTGAGTAAATGTTTAAGTGAACTCGGGGCCTGGTCAATCAAATGTTGGTTATATGTATGACCACTGTTATATGGATGACCACTGTTATATGTATGACCACTGTTATATGGATGACCACTGTTATATGCTTCATCTATCTCAAACAAGAGTTGGGTGTCTTAAGCTGGAGTAGAGAAGATTGATTTACATTGGGGATAAAGTTTCTCGTTAAATAATTAACAAACTAACTACCAGTAAATATTCACTTGCTGGTAAATATCACTGAAACAGACGACACCGGGGCTGGTTAATAAACTTCAACACAAATCCCGCCATCCAGTTAATAACCTCTCTCAACATTAACTTGTTCCAAAACAACTTTTAAATTATCAACACATTATTAGCAGAAGAATAAATGTGTCGGGAGTATATCTTGATATAAAATAGTTTCTGTTTTAGTCTTCATGAGTACATCTACATAAAATAATAGGCGAAGGCGTAAACTGGGTAAAAGGCACGTCACGTCACACGTAGACCTATACTGCACGTGACATTAAAGGTCAGTCATCTTCTACAGAGTTTGTGGCATTTCTTAGACAGAATATAATCACTGAGGCTGTGCCATTAATAAAAACTTTCCAACTGTCTTTAAAACAATCCACAGTGTATTAGCCATTTTTCAGGAATGGCGCCAGGATTTTCAGGGATATTATCTGGGTTGTGTCCTCTACCCGGCGATGTATATTATCTGTGTTGTGGCCTGCCCGGTGATATTATCTGTGTTGTGTCCTGCCCGGTGATGTATATTATCTGGGCTGAGTCCTGCCCGGTGATGTATATTATCTGTGTTGTGTCCAGCCCGGCGATGTAAACTATCTTGGCTTTGTTCTGTCCGGCGAGCGACGAGCCGCGGTGACTCAGTGAGGAAGAGGTTGACTCGCAAACCTAGGTCACATGTTCGATCCCCGTGCTGGTAGAGAAATTCATCAGGATTTTCCGGTGCGGTTCCCTCCTTGTCACAGACGCAGGATAGAGGATCTGGCAAGACAATGTATAGTCGTTCGGATGGGCGAACACCGAGACCCCGCGTACATATTGGCGTGCACGTAAAAGATCCCTTGACAGTTGGAATTCGATATAAGAGTAAGCCGTAGCGCCGCTGCCCGGGCAAAATTTCCCTCATAGCACACTGTATGGCGTACACCAGTCTTCATTAGCCCATCGGGAGCAGAACAGTAGGACGTTAAACCCCATTTCATTTGTTAGTTTGTGGAATGCTTCCTTGTGATGATTTTGAATTGTACAAACATTTACCAATGATTGTTGATAGAAGGTCAGAGGTCAACTCCACCTGATTGTAAATAAGGACCTAGTGATGAGACATGTAAAATCAGATGAAATATAATTTTTATTCATATGTAATAGTAAGTACAGGAGGACTGCACCACACACAAACATTTACACGAAACAAATACACGGACACCACAGACAAACAATGACACAAGACAAATCAACGGACAAGACACAATACAATATACAGGCATGACAAACAACAAAGGTACATCAGATCAAGTGAATGGGTCCGGGTCTACCTTTAGGGTACACTGAGCTGTACAGTCCTAGGTCGGTAGTGATACAAACTTTATTCACAATGAAAAACAATAATGGAATATTTCTCAAACGTTGTATAATAGGCCTACTATTGATAATACAATGGCAAGCCATGTGTTACATGAAATATAAATGTGAGAAATTCATTTACGTGAAATGTAGTAAGAGGCGTTTTTTTTGTTTTATATGTATGCGTGTAAATCAGTGACATTAGGTGACAAGGAGTAGCGTCCCCTGTCTAACCTCGTGGGATATCTTCATTTTCATCTCACTGCTAAACACGCCTACGCGTGGCAATCACCATTGATACTTTTGAGTGATTGTCGACTTCTGCACTCGGCAAACCTCAGCAGATTCCAGAACCCTACATCTAGCCTCGGCTGTATGACGAATTCCGCCATTGGAACTACTTTCAAGTTCCCGGATTACCAACAACGTTGCCCATGACGACGTCTTTGAAAAACGTTTTGTTTTATCATACAAATATTTCATAGTCTGAAGCTGTTTTTCTTTCAAGTTTTTCCGATTTTCTTCAAACAAGGACAACTTTGCACTAAAAATTCTACACACGCTTCGAACGACGCAATTTTGATAACTGTTAAAAGCGGCAAGTTTTCCTAATAAGTAAATCGGTGCCGCATCGCAATTGTATAGGCGTAGGTACATATCATTTACCGTCATACAGCCGAGGCTAGATGTAGGGTAACGGAATCTGTCGAGGTTTGCCGAGTGTCGACTGCTGCTGACGTTCACCGGCCAAGTTTTCCGACTCGAACAGTTGATCTTTAAGTACGTAACTATGTCTAATCCGAAATCAGACCTAAACTTACAATCTATTTCACAGAGATCTTCTAATATCTCTGTAACAGATGCCTGTTTAGACACGTGACGTCATATCGCGCGGCGTCAATCATTGGCTCAATAGCGCGTGCATTGTTTACATAAGACGTTACTGATTCGGGCTAAATGGTGAATTTTACTTATTTTAATACCCATTTACACTAAATAGGAAATGATTTTTACCCACAAATAATACAAACGTCTTTATTTATTTTTCTAATAAAAGAAAACAATGTTTTAGAATTTAATTTGACGGAAGAAAAAAGTTAATATTTGGGACTCATTAAGTCGCATCGATGTCATCCTTATCAGTGATTGTAGCGGCCTAGCGAAAATTCACTGCTGATCAGTGTGCTAAACTTACAGTGGTGCATGGCAAATATTATGACGTAGTACGGCTGGCATAGGTTTACGATGAATCAACCAAGAAAGCGAAAGTAGTGGGGCGTTGCGTATTCTAGGAAATATTGCGTTGTTATAAGAGCAAACCACAGACGCGTGTGAAGCCTGATAAGAAAAACCAACTTAACAGACGATAGAGAAATCTTCTAGTTTATTATGACAAGATAAGGTTGGCCATCATGAATTCAATAATACAAGATTCAAGTAAGTTATTCCATCCTATTTTACGATGTTTCTATATAACTATACTATAGGCCGTATCTTTATAATGGCTGACACGGAAGTTTAATATATTTCATAGAATATGTGGCTACTGATGGTATTCATGGTTAGTGGTAGTACCAGTATCCGGCTACCCCGTCTCAATTCTATGCTGAATCATTAAATACGCCAAAGAGATTTACTGGTCAGGGTTAATATAAATATAGGGGGAGGTGTACTGGTCAGGGTGAATATAGGGGCCCCGCAGGGTGTATATAGGGGCCCCGCAGGGCTTACATTAATTGGAAATAGTATATATCTACTCCGTTCCATTTTAACAAATATGGGGGGGGGGGCCCAACACCCCCTGTCATGGGTTTTGGCCTAGCGAATATTCACTACTGATAAGTGTGGGGGTTTTCGCGCTTTTTGACACTCGCGAATTGCCGGAACAACAATTCAATCTGGATATCAGAAATTACTGCACCTCCCGCCCTTCTTGCTAAAAATACTTTTCGGGCAGTGTGGATCTCATAGAAATAAGTTAGTTATATTTTTTCTCTAAACGTTAAATTTCTCTAAATTTTTCATTGCCCGAAAATAAAAATTTTTGCCCCCCCCCCCCGGCTCCTACGCCTATGAAGCCAGCTATTATCGCTTTGATTTAAAAGAGATGGTTTGTTCGCAGAAATGTTATAAATAACAATAATCAATCGTTGTTTTGAAGAGAAAATTGTCATTTTTCTTATTGAAGTTCGATCTGATGAGCACCGTACTTTGTCATGTGAAACTATATAGTACATCTTTTATCTCGAAACACGGAGGGTTGAGAGGTGAGGTTTCTTTTTTTATCTAGTTCACCATGACATGCCGTGTTTTACCATTTGGACCTATGTTGAAATACGAAAGACCCATTAACTTAGACTACACGTTGACGACTACGCAACGACTGGACAAGAATGACAAAAGTCTACAAAGTGTAGTCCGAAAACATCTACGTCATGTATTCATACATTTGCAGATTTCAAGCTAAAACAATAATTAAATGACAAATTGTTCATTATTAGCCAAAGGAAACATTCATTTTACCATGGTTGAACATTGGGTTATAATTTCAGAATATAGCGGTGATGAGTCTGGTGGAGATGTTGACCGAACATGCGATTTCTTTTGTATGACGAATACTGGCGTAGTAATATAACGGTGAGTAAAGAGTCGGTGAAGCTGAAAGAAAGAAAAACAAGCAAAGAAGCGAAGGTAAAGCCACAATTCAAATCAACTTAGTGCTGATTGCCTTCATTGCACGACCACCCCTTGAAAGTTAAATTAATTATCGAAGCGGTTAGCAACGTTTTTACTGGAGCGATACACATTTTAAGGCGAATTTCGTTGCAGGAAATCTTTTGTTTACGTCGGAAGTTACAGTTGAGTGACCCCAAAATTACTCATTCTTGAGTTGGCTTCGAGACTCGCTTTTTTCATGCGAAGTGTGTCTTTTTAAATTCCTAACATATTGTTGAAGTTATAATGGCGACGGGAGTTTTGAGGTATGGAAATTTGTGTTGTTTGACCATGGCTAAATTACTTTGACTTAAAATGTTCACTTTGACCTTTTTTATTCTAGATAGTCTTTAACCTATTTATTTAGAAATTGGGACAAATGGTGTGGGCTGAAGGATAAGCCATAATATTTTCTTAGGGACAGTCTCTGATCGGTCATTCCTATTCGTCCCTAATCCCTATATAGCTGCAATATGAAAATACGATAAAACACCGCTCCTCCCCACCTTTGTAATTGTTAAGGCTATTTGGCATTCATGTTTGATGTGACTCCCATTTTAGAGTCTCAATATTTCATTGTTGTTGAAGATTTTGTCTTCCTCATTCTCATTGGTTTTAATCTTAAACCCCTAACCCTGAGTTTATAGGTTTTAATCTTAAATACATGACCCTAACCCTTAATCCTAAAATGTAAAAGCGGTGGAATGTAGAACTAGAAGTGATGGAAATAGAAAAAGGAGTCGGATAAACATGATCGCTGGCTATTTTACTTTGGAATCCTTACTGACTATTTTTTACTATGTTTCTTTATTTTTCGCCAAAAGGAAAATCTCTCGCCATATCCAACACAAGTTTATAATAATTCAACATTATTTTCAAGTAGAATTTTAAAAATTTTCAATTATCAATTGGTCTCAGGTCAGTATACATTATCAATGGTGAGAAATTATCCCTTTGGCAACAATAAATAAATAATCATGGTGAAAAATAGTCCGTAAGGAATTCCAATCTGCTTCACTGAGGTATTGCGAAAGTCTTCTTATACTTATAGCTCTGTAATAGATGACTGGTTTCAACATATGACGTCACATCACAGGAAGTCAATCATTGGCTCAATACCGCGTGTATTTTTTACATAAGACGTTACTGGTTCGCGTAGAATGGCGCCTTTTACTCATTTTAATTTTAATATCCATTTACTCTAAAATAGTTAATAATTTTTACCTACATATACTTCAAACGTCTTTCTAATTTTAAAAAAAAAATGTTTTCATGTTTAATTTGTCAGAGAAAAAAGTTAATATTTGGGACTCATTAAGTCGCATCAATGTTATCCTTATCTGTGATTGTAGCGGCCTAGCGAATATTCACTGCTGATCAGTGTGAAGGAATCCATTCGTCTGGCATTCATTATGTTAGTGTTATCCCCTCGCTGCCCTTGAAATAGTTTCGTTCCTTCTACCAAACTATATTAATTCTTGGAATAAATATTTGTTACATTACCCGTTACTCACCCTGTACGTTCAGGAACCGGCCTATCGAGTCATTGTGTTGTACATACTGACTCTAGCCAGGTAAGTGAGGTCTTATTTTCTCACTAAAATGTTCCTTTACATTGGCCCGTCTCGTATATTTCACCATATGTTTGGTGCAATATAGCCCAGTTGGAGCTGACATGCCATAAAACAACATTTCATTTCCTTTACATTGTACAGGCATTTACACGTACTGACGAAAAAAGTTGCACAGTAAAATTTAATGAGAACTGAAAAACTTTTGACGAGGAGTCAATAGGACAATTCCTGAATGTACATGTAGGCTACATAGCGAGTGTAATAAGACCTATATTCAGAGCTGAAACAGTTACTGTATGGCTGTCGTAGTATCTATGTAGACATAACATTGATCGTATGTTAGTGTTAGTCCCGAAAAACAAAAGGTAGTGATTTCAAAAATTGAGGATTAATTTTGATTCTTATTTTTGCTTTAGACTAAAGGAGATGAACATGCGTACACCACAGCCATTGCTGGAAGCAAACGAGGGAGAAATACCAACCAATGGAGAGGTTGATTTCTCAGAGTATATGTGGATGGGGGAGGAGCTAGAAGAATTTGATAGACAGGTAAATTATTGACCTAATAACCTTGTTTCATTTTTGATTTGAAAATATGTGTAACATCGTCCCTGTATTTGACAGTGTTAAAGGGGTTAATTTGGTCTGAACAGTGGCACTGTGTCCTATTCTTGAATCAAATGACAACCATCAACATGTACACCGGACCTTGTTTTGTCACATCCTGCGCAGGTGAAGGGTACTCAAACCCCGAACCTACTGGTTGGTAAGTCTAGTGCCTTATTCACTGGACAACCGTGGCTACCAGAAGTTGGGAACATTCAGTGTTTTTAACCTTTGACTCCAAGTATGTATAAACAAATTGCTGAACGGTGATTATTAAAATAATCTTACAATAAAATCTGGATTAATACAACTATAAAAAAATATGGATTAATCTTTTTCTGGTTTATTATAGCTAACAAGAACGTGAAGTACTTAGTTAGGATTAGCCAGTTACTGGATTAATTAGGGGTTAGACGATCACTGGATTAATTAGGGATTAACCAATCACTGGATTCATTAGGGATTAACCAATGACTGGATTAGTTAGAGTTTAACTAATCACTGGATTAATTAGGGATTAACCAATCTTTGGATTAATTATGTTGATACACATCTCTTCCCTTGAAGAACAGCATACAATTTTATGGGTTGGCATTAAGCAAAAACAAAAAATGGCTGCTTTATAATACTATTTATAATTATGTTCACTTTCACCAATTTCGTATAAAGTTGTAGGTCAGTTCCTTTGTCCAGACTGCTTTATGAAGTTTCTTTGTCTAGACGATCTTCTGCTGTTATAAAGTTGTGGGTCAGTTTCACAAAGGAACTTACATGTATGAGGAAACATTTGCTTAAGATTATTGTAAAGTAAACTTACGTAAAAGTCGCGTTTCACTCAAAATTCGTAACTTAAGAAATTCATAACTTTTATCGTAAAACATACAACAGCTTCATAACTTTTATGGTAAAACATACAACAGCTTTCACTGTATTGGAATTTTTCATGTATTTTTGACAAAATGGCCCCCTTGTTAGTTTATGCATATCAACAACTTCGGTGAGAGAGAATGTTCAGAGATAGATTAAATACTCTGGACACCCACATGAGGAGTTCGTTCTGCAGTACAGACTTGATAGGACCAGTACATTGCATCTTGATTTATCACAAACAGGAACTAATGAAAAATAATCTCAGTAGGCTAGTTTTCATTAAACAAGACATGACTAACGGAATTAGTATTTACTAGGCCCAGACTAAAGTAGTAAGCCTCTTGTGGCAAAGACCGACATTTACTTTGTACAATTAAATAGACCCCATTTCGGCTATTGACAGACTGACGGACAACGTATGCTACTATGTCACGCTCTGTGATTTAGTGAATAAAAGACATGAAAATAACATTTTATTCATAAATTGACAGCTATATACAATGTATATATAAGGAATATATTCCGTCATTTATGTTTTAAAAGTAAAAGATAAAATCAAACATAATGGCTATAATGCCGACATTGTCAAATTTCAGAATGAAGTGACGCAACATGACGTCACGGCCATTCGTGATGTATTACGACAAATGGTACGTCTTGAGCTGCTATTAAAGCCTTCATGTACTATTTTCATTTTTCGGAAAATGGCAAAAACAAAAAAAAGAAATGTGGTTTAACATCCACTCGGTACAGAACAGGTCATTTTGGAACTAACACATGGTTCACTTTTATTTTGATAATTCGCTTATGCGCAAGGGTCTTTAACAGTGAAAGGAAACCGGAGGACCTGGAGAAAACCCACGAGGTTGGACAGATGATCCTACAAAACCACACCAGTTGACTTAATGGCAGACCTTAGGTTGTACGTGACAAGGAGTAGGGTCGTCTGTCCAACCTCATGGGTTTTCTCCGGGTCCTCCAGTTTCCTCCCACTGCTATGGTAAAAAATAACATTTGAATTTTATTTATCAGGTTGAGGAGGAATTATGGGAAGAAGCATTCATCGAGGCGTGTTTTGAAGAGATGATGGCCGAGGAGAATGGTCCATCCCATAGTAGTAATACTAATAACAACAATTATTCCTCATATCAGCCCCAGCAGCTTCTACCCCATCACCATAACAACCAGCAGCCACCACCCCATCACCATAACAACCAACAACAATATATATACAACAACAATCTGGCTAATCTGGAGGACACTATGAAACGGTTCAATATGCGAGAAAATCCTAAAAAGGAGGAGGTAAGTCGAATTAAGATAATGATACTGGGGTTGGTTGAAGCAAACTGGTGAAACAAGTGCAGTGTGCTGTTAACTTTTAGCCAGGGGGATTGGATGGCCGAATGGTTAGCACGTGCGTGCTGTATCGAAAGGTCTGTCATTGAGTCAACTGGCGTGGTTTTGATTCCCCGGTTGTACGTGACAAGGAGGAGGGTCGTCTGTCCAACCTCGTGGGTTTTCTCGGGTCCTCCGGTTTCCTCCCACTGCTAAAGACCCCTACGCACAAGCGAATTATTGAAATAAAATTCAACCATATGTTAGTCCCAAAATGACCTAGTTTGTGACAAGTGGACGTTAAATCCCATTTCTCTCTCGCTCTTCAGATTTTTTTAAAAAAAAGTATGTTGAACAACTATCAATCTGATTTAAATACAGATCTATATTTCGTTGTTTATACATGTCAGAAGACTGTAAAGTGGCGATTGTATTCATGGATGCAGGGATGTAGCCACGCCGGGCACTATTTTTTGCCTCCCAGCACAAAGAAAAAATCTATGAAAGCCACCCAGTCATATTTAAACCCCTTTGTACTTCTCTGTACACAAACCTAGCGCTCAAAATTTACCATGGCAAACAGCAAAGTCATGGTAAAAACCGACGCAAACCATGTCTGCCACGGCAGAATTTATTTTTGTGTGCCGTAGTAGTCTCTATCATCCCAAATTAGTTTAAAGAAAGAAGTATTGGTATTTTGTTTATTTATATTTAGAAATTGTGTAGGTCTATTCATTTTACAATTCTACGGTCTTTAAATTTGTGTATTTGCCGTAAATAGGTCGTAAATGGTGTCATGATGTCGTAAATGGCGTCATAATTAGTGAAACACAAGTCAAATAATCTCAAAGTAATAAAGTAATATTTGAAAAAAAATTGAGAAACAGAGTGGGGTGGGTCAATTTTATGCCCGGTCGGTTGGTTTCAAAAAGTTTTTAGATTCCTGGCAGAGTCTCTGTATCATTGATGAAAATTAAGTGAATTTGGTAAAAATTTGAATAATAAATGGAAATTTGATTTGCACTGATGCAAATACAAAAGGTAGTCGATGCTCTGAAAATACACCAAGAAGGGTTAAATTTTTATAAAATGGAAGTCGAACATCAAATCGGAACCTAATCCAATTAACATCGCAGGCTAGCTATGCCATTGAAAGTTGATTATGGTCTGGATAAGTTAATTAATGTCTAATTAATAATTTAGATAACATTTCAGGCCTAAAGAAAGACATGCAATAGACAGATTTAGCTCTTGCATAATGTATGTTTAAATTTACTGGCACGATACATGGTCGCGGAGTGTAGTAGTCGTAGAAGTGAACTGGCATGATAAAGATGAAAATATCCTCGGCAAAATGTTACATAGTAATAGTAATAAATCAAGTAGTGTATCCATAAAAATTGTACTTTTGTTTTGAATGACTAAATGCCTACCTCTTGCCAACTCCCTAAACCCCAGTTTTCTATGTGTTTACAGTTGGTGAAGAACAGTAGTCTGAACCCAGAAGCCCCCGAGTTTGTTCCGGGTAATTATATGAAGAGATGAAGATAGAGTTGGTTAGACGTAGATATTCCAATATTGTCGACACCACAAACCGTGTTACCAATGGTTACAAGTTCATGTGAGGATATTACCCAGATTTACTAGTCTAGTGAATTCGGCCAGTTACTACTACATGTATGTGATTTGATTGTCTCCATGGAGATTTTGATTAAAATTCAAATCTCTATTTAAACTTGTGACTATTTGATAGTGGCTATTGTCTTGAACATCAAGGTTTATGAAATCTGAATGTTTTCTAAAGGAATTGTGAATTGTATAAACAAACTGAAGATCTATTTATTCAGCTGATATTTTATGTTTTTCTTCTTTTTATCGTCTTGTGCATTTATTATATTTCTCTTTAATTCTTTTACCTTTAAATTTTTTTGTGCCAGCTTATATTAATACTAAAAAGTGCTAATTTAATGAATGCAACAAATTGTAGGATGTAATTTTATTCTAGTATGGTTCAAGTGGTGTATTATTTTTTTCCCTCTCCTCTCCATTAGTTATATGATTATAATGTTCTGTATTTTGTGCAGGTTTTAAAATTCTCTGTAATTTATTACATTGTTATATTAATTCCTCAAGTTGAATAAATCTTTTATTTTCTAAAAGATCTTCCCAATATTCATGTTAACCCGGGGTTGTCCCCATGGGTCAGTTTTTGCTGTAGTAGCTCTGCTTCCAGTTGAGGTACCATCTTCCCCAATAATCATCTTCTGTGGGTTCCACTTTGGGGGTGACACCTGTCTAGTCATTCGGGTGACATTTGTTGAGTTGCCTACCGTGCGTGTTTCTAAATTCAATTTCTTGTTCCTGCTTTCTGCCATATTTCGTAAAAAAAGCAGTCTTGATTATTCCGGCCTGTCAATCAGACGGCGAATGGTCAGTAGACTGATTAAGCGAGACTAATTTCAAAACAAGGGCATGTAACCTATTTTTTGCTCAAAAGTGCCTGGATATTATGGACGACACTCTGAACCATTTTTATACGTATATTGCCGTCGGTCCGTCCGTCTGTCCGTCCGTCCATCGTCCACAATTTCTTGTGAACGCTCTAACGCCAAAAGTTATCATCCAATTTGTTTTAAAATTGATATATGTTGTTAACATTAGTGAGATGAAGAAGCCTATTTAATTTCAATAATTCACGTTTATTACGTCTACTGTTTATTACGTCTAGAGTTATCTCCCTTGTTTCACTTTATTGAACCTTGTGAACACTCTAACTCCAAAAGTTATCCGATCTTTCTGAAATTTATATGCATTATTTAAATTAGTGAGACGAAGAAGCCTATTGAATTTCAGCAATTTACAATAATTACTTCTAGAGTTATTTCCCTTGTTTCACTTTGTTAAACCTTGTCGATTGATGAAAGTTATCATCCGATATGAATGAAATTTATATGCATCGTTTAAATATTTGTGGAACAGGTCTATTGAATTTCAGCAATTTCCGTCAATAATTTCTAGAGTTATGGCGATTGAGAACGTTTTTTTTGAAGAGTATACAAAGATCTTGTCCATTAGGGTATCTTTTTGTGTGCATGTCACTTCCTTTATATTTTTACAAGGGTTATAGACGGTTTGCTTTTATGTCTGAGCTTTATATGCCAGAGCTTCCGGCGTGGTTTCCCCTTGTCAGTGGTGCAGGACGGAGGGTCTGAGAAGGACAGCTGTCTAGTCGATCGGATGGAACGAAAAAACCGTGTATACATTGGCGTGCACGTAAAAGATCCCTTGTCAGTTGGAGTTGAGTAGGTCATAGTGCCGCTGCCCGGGCAAAATTTCCCCCATAGCACACTGTATGGCGTATGCCCGTCTTCATTAGCAGAACAGTAGACTAGTAAACCTCATTTCATTTAAATGCCAGAGCACCCATCCCCACCCCCAATAGGTCCACCCTTTTCCACTACGGGACTACAACTATCACAAAGGGTCCGAACCGAGCTACTAATATCACAAGTCTACCCCCCTCACCCCACCCCTCTTGAAAAATCTGGCAACGCAGATTATTCAGCGTTTCATTTGGATATGTAAACAATCTGAACTGCGCTAACATGGCGTGTACCACAAGCTATGATGCACAATAATAGGACTTGCGCGTATGGGTCTTTAGCTGTGGCAGGAAACCAGGAAACACTGGAAAAACCTATGACGTTCGACAGGCGACCCCACTCCTTATCACATACAAGCTGGGCACGCGTTAAACCCATCACGTGGTACTTTGAGTTCTTAAATATAAAACAACACACTATTTCTTAATGTAATATTTAAAACTAAATTAATTAAATTATTTATTCAAAAATCAACCGAGTTCAGATACCCGTATTTATATAACTTATTTATAATAGCATTCTATTGTTATACCCCGTCATGCCCTGTCTTACCAAGGGTAAATTCTACAGAGAGGGCATTAAAATTAGGTTATTTGAAATTATTCCTGTTAATTTCGTTGTGCAGGCTATCCCACTTAATCCTACATTGGTCCACACTAGAACCTAGGTGCACACAATCATTGGCCCATACTAGACCCTAGGAGCATACAATCATTGGCCCATACTAGACCCTAGGAGCATACAATCATTGGCCCATACTAGACCCTAGGAGCATACAATCATTGGTCCATACTAGAACCTAGGAGCATACAATCATTGGTCCATACTAGAACCTAGGAGCATACAATCATTGATCTATACTAGTCCCTAGGAGCATACAATCATTGGCCCATACTAGACCCTAGGAGCATACAAACATTGGCCAATACTAGACCCTAGGAGCATACAATCTAGTCGATAAGAAACTTCGTGTCTCCAGATCAGAGGTACAATATAGATTCAACTGATGCTGATCAAATCGTACTTCAATAAGCAAAACTGACAATTCATTCTTCAAAACAACGATTGATTATTTTTACTTCTTACATTTCTGACACACCCAAGTACAATTAATCATACGGGTACCAGCCATCTCTTTTAATAGCTGGCTTACCAGGCATTTTCAATTTGATATGTTTACTACGTCATGAAGGCGGTGCTTAATATATGGCACGTACAACTGCCAATCAAAATGCGCGAGAAGTACTACCATGATAAACGTGGCGCATGACTAATGCACCGTAATTATAAATATTCGTATCAATTTTGATAAAAATAAAAAAAAATAAATAAATAAAATAAAAAAATAACAACGTTTGATTCACTGACAATATTTGCAGATAAACGAAAGTTGTTTCACTAGAATATGTTTAATAAATCCTAATACTAATAGTATAAATTTAACTTATTTTTAAGATGTTACATGGATTAATAACGAAATGAACGAGCTAACCCTAGTTATTACCACACGTTTACAGGAAATAGGCCCACACGGCGGGTTATGTCTCAACAACAGCTAGGAAATAGGCCCACACAGCGGGTTAAGTCTCAACAACAGGAAATAGACCAACACAGCCGGTTAAGGATCTAGTAATCTAATCACTGTCGTAATGGCAATAAAATCTTTTTGAAAAAAAACATTTGTGAAAAACTGTCAACTCTATCGCGTTTACAAAATGTTTGGAAAAGAGGAAAGGGGACAGAGTACTCCGGAACAGAATGTCGTGGAACGCTGGTTGTCGACAGGGTTAGTCTTCTCAAGACCTCTTTGCCCCGAACCAAAATTGAAAAGATACATTAGCCTTTATCGCGTATTTCGAAAATAGGGGGTCAACTCATACGGCTGCAATGCCCCGCACCAGATTGAACGATGAGTATTTTGAGGCGTAAATGGCGCCCAAAGCATAGCAAAAAGGGACCGACAAGAACAGATATGTATATTGGGTACATCATATCCACAATATAAATGATTTAAAAACAAATTGACAAAATTATCGATAATTGAAATTTTGAAATACGAATGGAAGAACTATAACTTACACTGAATTGATTTATTTTATGTGTAGAATAGACTAGTCTCTATCATCCAGATAAATATCCTAGGACTATTAGTCTCGTTGTCAATATTTGGGAATAATAGGTCATTGGCTAGATTATCTGGTCTTTTACATTAACGCAAACAAAGTCTAAGCATAGGCGTAGGAGCTCAAAGTAATTCAGGGGGGCATAAGAGAAAATTGCCCGAAATCAATACCGTTTTTTCGGGCATACATATCATAAGAGAGCTTCGGGCATATTTTCGGGCATGCAGAGGACAAGAAAAAGACGAGATAATACTTTTCGGGCAGTGTGGATCTCATAGAAATAAGTTAGTTATATTTTTTCTCTAAACGTTAATAGCAAAAAAAGGTCGTCGAATTTTTCATTGCCCGAAAATAAATTTTTTTGGGGGGCAAATGCCCCCCCCCCCTGCCCCCCGGCTCCTACGCCTATGAGTCTAAGGGAAGTAACTAGTCCTAAAAAAACAAGATAGATTTAGACTAGCAATTATTCGCCCATTAAATGGCTGTAACATAACAGACTGTAGATATTTGTTCAACATTCCGTTGGTTGAAATCTTTATAAGCACAATGGGGACCACATTTGGCAATCTCCTTATCATAATTTTGTAGGGAGTTGACCGTTTAGAATTTTTGCTACGGGTATTTGATATTCACTGGGGTGAAAATCCTACTTCCGACACACAATGATTGCTCTGCAGAAAGGCACCTTATACACCTTATCCCTCCGCTGTAATATCTCCAGTATTACCCAAAACTGCTATGAAATTGAAAATTTTATCCCTTTTCTCGAATTCTAGACCAAAAAGTCAACCAACAAATGCAGAAAGAGGGGAGAAAAAAGTTAAGGGAAAAATTGTTTATTAATAACTCGCACTACATTCGTAAGGGGAAATAATTACTAGTCTTAGTCCAGATGTTGACGCCCATGAAATTAATTTAAGAATGCCATTTAAAAAAAAATCCATTTGATTGCATTGCCAGTTCAATATCCTACACTCTTATTTTTTTAATTGTAAAATCCCTCTCTTCGTGGGCTATATCTATGTTTTCTAAAGTAATCCCAATTCGTCGTCACGATTTATGTTTGTTAATATTAATTATGGGATTTTTTGCGGGAAAGGGCGCAACTCTTACTTAAAAACCAAACTCCCGGTTACGCATGGACAAGGGACTTTTCGTCAAATACTGATAACGATCCCAGACCCTCCGTACGTTGAAGACTAAAAGACTCTGGGTAACCGAGACTAAGAATCGACGTATTATCTAGAACATATCTTTCCGTTTCGGTCATGTTTTGTAATTCTTTGGGCGCTCTGACAAAAAAAGGCATCCTTGTCGGTCTGATTAAAAACTGTAGCTTCTATGGCATTGACCGACTGACATGGTTGACGACATAATACACCCACATTTAAATGTGGAAAAGAAAGAAAAATTTAAATTGTTTCTGCTGGAACTATTTGATCAACACGATAACAGTTACAAATCCCTGTCAATAATTGAAGTAAATGACGCCAAATAAATTACATTAATGATACGGACATTGTTTAAATCGTACATTATTTATACAAGGTGTTATTGTCATACATAAATATAAAAAATGGGTGCAAATCAACATTCACTTTTGTTGTTTTTGTATCATCCTAGACTTCCAACCGTAATCCAATATATTCATTCACAATTATCTTTAATAATTCTTTCAGTATTCAGATTACATGGCCAATAATTCTTTCAGTGACCATTTTTAGTATCAAAATAACCTAATATAGGCTAGTCATTTATTACATCATCGATATTTGAGTACGACACCAGAAATCACCAAGGTGCGACATATTCCATTCATACCTTAATTCATCTACGACTACGAACGTTTTACTGCAGCGTATACGTCCTTTTTGACATCCAGATGTTGCCGACACTGGAATGCTGCAATTGGAAAGTTCCACTGTCTCTGCAAAAGCATGGTGTGCCGAACGTGGGACGGTTCTCCCTCTGTTCTTCATATTGTTCACACAGAGGACCGGAAGTGAGGAGTCTACGACATATTGTGCACACAGAGGACCGGAAGTGAGGAGTCTACCTTATATAATGTACTACTATATTATTGTAGATATTCGCTGTTCAGGATTAATGGCGCTCGCGGCTTCTTCTCGTCGTCTGCCAAGTCCGAATAAAACATTTCTAAACATTGTTCCTAAAGCACAATAAAACAGTAAATTAACTGAACTATTGACCCTTGACACGACCTCTGTGGGCCCTGTAATATTGTCTATGATTGATTTAGCTGCTGCGTATTGTTGTCCGGCGTCCATCACTTGGTTACCTGAAACCGGAACTGACACAACGTACGCTAAAGAAATGGCGCGAACCGGAAACACCAGGAGCGAGCATAATGTCATTAATGAAACGGTGATAGTTAATTTATTTCCAATGTCATCTTGATTGGTATTTAGCGATCTCCCCGTTTTATTCGCCTTACAGATATGTATCAACATTCCCACATTCACAACTAACATCACAAACCAAGGAACACCATAGAAGAAGACGATGATGCACCGAACGGCGATAGACCAGCGTTCAACAGTAGGAAAAAACAAAGCTCCACTAAACGTTATAGCTAATTTACAAATGACACTGATTATTAATGATCCTAACCCGAACCAAACACACAAATTAGTTGTGACAAACGTCTTAGCTTTTAACGGTCTAGAAATGGCGATAAAACGAGTAATTCCAACCGCCAAGGTTACCAGAAACGAACAATATTCCATAGTTAATCTTAAGAATCTGACTGTAAATTTCGAATCGATGCCATAATAATGAAAATAGGACTCCGGAAATTCTATGAACTTAACTGTATATTTCTGGGGTAATGAATAAAACATCTCGAAAGTCTGCTGATAATTTTTGGCATAAAGTGAACAAACGAGTGATACACAGTCACAAATGGACAATAACACCAGCAATGGATATATAGGCGTCTGCTTACGTATAATAACCCAGACGATAAGTGCCAGGATGTTGAAAATTATTCCAATTGGCGCGATGATGTAAGAACTGATTGTGACGAGGTCATGGAATCTCGTGACGTCATTTCCGTCAGCATGGAGTGTAGTTGTGTTATAGCCTTCTGTTGTCGAGACGGGGACAACCATATTGAAACTGTCCTTATTTCATCAAATCGACTTTCTTTCTGAAAACTCACATTCACATAAAAATCCACAAATTAAAGCCAAACAAAATGATCCCAGATAAACTCGATTATATCGCCTGCTTCCAAGAAAGAATGGTAAATAGTTCAGGTTGCTATTGACGCATCAAATCCAATATTATCCACCGATTAATATGTAGGTATTTTTACTAATTTACTCCCCAGGTTTCATCAACTCTTGTCATCCAATTTATACCCGTTTTGTACTTAGTTATTTTGCTCGCTTTAATTTCAAATTCCAAAATAAATTCAGAATTTATTAATTTCGTTCCGTATTTAGATAAGGAACATGGCTGAAATGAACAGGACAAACTGTCTCACCAAAATGCAAAATCTTCATATTCACATTAAACTGGTCTGATTTTATTCCACAATTCATCGACAGAATCTTCTCGCGTGTTAACCATTCTTTTTTTTTTTTTTATAAAATTCACAATTTCAACTTTTTAATCCCTGGAATTATCAGATAGTTTTTGGGTCTGTAAATATTAAAAATGGAATGACGTTTTTCAGAGATTATTGTGCGTGTTTACATAAAATAAAGTTGTCAAACAACAAGAGTAAAAAATTAGTCTAATTAAAATTGTAGTTTACATTTATAGCCCACAAAACAACCAACTGTTAAATACACAACCTTATTACAATTTTTATATCTTCAAATCCTCCAATAACACAGTTAAATCCTTCAATAACACAGTTGTTTCATAACACAGCCAAATTCTTCAATAACACAGTCAAATCCTCCAATAACACAGTCAAATTACTTATAAATTCCTGCAAGTTTTAAACATTTGAATTGTACACACTTGTTGGTTATCCATACAACTTTGAATTTTAAACACTTTCTGAAACACACAACACGATAGCCATATTTTACAAACCAACACATTTCCAGTTATTATGGTCCAGTAAAGGAAATCACTAATATGTCGTGCTCGGTTAAGGGTGTGCGTCCGATTTCTAAAACACTTAATATCGTTTATCTGTGACGTACACTGACTTCCAGTTGTCCCCCTTGAATATTTAAAACACGGAAGACGAAGTTTGTCATAAAAAAATGTTTAGTTCATTTGAAATCGGAACCACTATCCCTGTGGTGAAATTTGGAAAAAAAACCTCCACCCTAAACAACGGACTCTTGTGGTTTTAAAGGCAACTCCGTCCCACATGTATGACAACCGACTAAGCGTTCTTTATACACTATCAGAATCCTTGCCAGTACGGTCTCCTTATTTTCTGTAGGGTTATTAGAACAATTCAGATTATTTTAAATGATATTAATTAAGCAGTGTATTGATGTTTATATGTAACTTGGTTAGGTAGGTGGTGAAATTATAACTCTCTTCTTGTTTCAAACCGTATCTATGAAGTATCTACTGTTACGTGTAATGAGTCCACGATAGCTATAACTAGACGGTTAAATTGCTTCAAATCATACCCATGAAGTGTCATCTATATTGTCTAATGAGTCCACGGTAACTATAACTTGGCGGTTAAATTGTTTCAAACCGTATCCATGAAGTAACATCTGTAACGTCTAATGAGTCCACGGTGGCTGTAACATGACCGTTAAATTGTTTCAAACCGTACCCGTAAAATAATATCACTATCTGTTACGTGTAATGAGTCTACGGTGGATATAACTTAAGTTAAATTATTTCAAATCGTATCCGTAAAACAATATCACTATCTGATGAGTCTGGGTAGTCGATTAAATTATAAATTATCAGTGGAGTTATATTTTTTATTTTATAATGAAGCTGTGTGTATAATTTGACTGTATTTACACGTGATGTTGTTAATAGTAGATGAAAGATATTTAATATTTATATAGATATTGATTCACGTGTAATATTTTAAAGATGTCTGTTTAACAAGAAAATAATCCGAGATGTTTTCCACAGATCTATAATAACCGAGAATTAGATATCGATCTCTAATATCCAGGTAAATACTTGATTGATCGGATCGACGTCATTATATCAAGGCCTTCACCACTTGGTTTCAAACATCTGAAAATAATCACGTTAAAATAAACCATTATAAAATACGTCCGCTGATTACACTATTTTGCCTTATTACACTATTTTGCTTATACAGTTTTTAGGACTTCGAATTTTGTCTAATGGTTTGGATTGTTCGTACTTGGTTTTATTTTATTTCAAAAAACCCAACTGGATGTCGTTAAAGATACATTCTTGGAGATTAGATAAAGAGCTGACAATTCTCACTATAATAGTTAAAAATTAGATAATGTTAAGGCAATTTGCTGAAAATTTCAAACAAATTGATCCACCCTGAACCGAGTATTTAGCGATTGAATTTTCGGCCTAGCCTCAATCTCATCATTACTAAAGTCGGGGGGGGGGGGGGGGGGTATGGAATGTCGTCTAGTCATTAGCGCAACTATGAGAGAAACAACTCTTATTTGAGGTTGTTCCCATTATCATTAGCAGACATATATGTTTGAACTGTTATTTGAGGTTTTCCTATTATTCGTGGCAGACCTAAAAATTTGGTGACCCAGATTTTGAACTGTTATTTGCGGGATTCTCCTTATTCTTGATGGACATGAATCTTGAACTTTATAGGGGATGTCTGGAATCAAAGAAACAAATAAATACAAACCGTGGTGTCGGCGGGGGGGGGGGGTTGGAGAGATTCTTCTATATGCTTGTCGTTTTGTCCCGCCATATAATATTATAAAATATAAGACTTATTGGTTCAGTGTGATTTTCGAGCAGCATACCCAGCCCCTCCTACCATCAGCCACCTCAAATAGGATAAAAACACAAATATTCGGTACATTTACAAAGCCCGTACCAAATTAATGAATTGAATAATTACATTAGTTTAAAAATATTATTGGATAAAACAATAGGTCAACATTATTTATAAATATTTATCGCAAATATGGTCACGTCACACAAATATGGTCACCTCACACAAATATGGTCATCTCACACAAATTGTATGAATAAAATAAGGTTTAATATTCTAGGTTTGTGCACCAATAAAGACGGGCACTCGTCATACAGTGTGAAATACGGGTACCCGTCATACAGTGTGAAATACGGGCACCTGTCATACAGTGTGAAAGACGGGCACCTGTCATACAGTGTGAAATACGGGCACCCGTCATACAGTGTGAAATACGGGCACCCGTCATACAGTGTGAAATACGGGAACCTGTTATACAGTGTACTATACGGCTATCCTCCATACAGTGTGAAATACGGGCACCCGGCATACAGTGTGAAATACGAGCACCCGGCATACATAGAGTCAACCGATGTGGTTTCGATTCCCCGGTTGTACTTGACAAGGAGCATGGTCGCCTGTCCAACCTTGTGGGTTTTCTCCGAGTCCCCCCGGTTTCCTCACGCTGTTAAAGACCACTACGCGCGAGCGAATTATTGAAATAACATAGAACCATAGTGGACGTTAAACCCCATTCTCTCTCTCACCTGTCATATAGTGTGCTATACGTGCATCCAGCAAACACTATGCTATGAAGGAAATTCTGCCCGGGTTATTTTACGTGCAAACACACGATTATACCCTGTTTATATATTTGGCGGTTTACCTTTTTCAAATCCACTATGTCCTCTTTTATGAATAAAATCAATTAAAATACATAAGAATTACCTTGTTAGTCTCTAAAACGTTAAGTAGCCGTGAAAGATGATTTATTACGACTATGTATTATGACTGTAAATAATAACTGCCTCGTTTCTATATTATATTAACTCACCTATTAAAATATACTAATTATAATTAACTACAGTTAAGAGACATTCCGCGGAGGGGAGATTATTGTTTTATTAATCATAAACTATCTAAGTTACCTGATGTTCTACACCTATCATAAACTACCTTTGTTACCTGATGTTCTACTCCTATCATAAACTAGCTATGTTACCTGATGTTCTACTCCTATCATAAACTACCTATGTTACCTGATGTTTTACACCTGTCATAAACTACCTATGTTACCTGATGTTCTACACCTATCATAAACTACCTATGTTACCTGGTGTTCTACACCTATCATAAACTACCTATGTTACCCGATGTTCTACTCCTATCATAAACTACCTATGTTACCTGATGTTCTACACCTATCATAAACTACCTTTGTTACCTGATGTTCTACTCCTATCATAGACTACCTATGTTACCTGATGTTCTACACCTATCATAAACTAGCTATGTTACCTGATGTTCTACACCTGTCATAAATTACCTATGTTACCTGATGTTCTACACCTATCATAAACTACCTATGTTACCTGGTGTTCTACACCTATCATAAACTACCTATGTTACCTGATGTTCTACACCTATCATAAACTACCTATGTTACCTGGTGTTCTACATCTATCATAAACTACCTATGTTACCTGATGTTCTACTCCTATCATAAACTACCTATGTTACCTGATGTTCTACACCTATCATAAACTACATTTGTTACCTGATGTTCTACTCCTATCATAGACTACCTATGTTACCTGATGTTCTACAGCTATCATAAATTACCTATGTTACCTGATGTTCTACACCTATCATAAACTACCTATGTTACCTGGTGTTCTACACCTATCATAAACTACCTCTGTTACCTGATGTTCTACACCTATCATAAACTACCTATTTTACCTGAGTCGTTTACCTATGTTGTTGATGTATTTATCATAAACTAGTTGTGTTAGCCTCTGTTTTTGTAATGAATTGGAACAAATACCATGTAAATACTAACATTAAATAGTACCAGACAATTCCCCCAAATTTTCCAGTTTGGTTACCCCTTTTTAGTGGCGTAGGATAGAAGGCCTGCCAAGCAAAAGGGGTCTAGTCGTTCGGATGAGGCGCGAAAGTACGAGGACTCGAGTACAGCATTGAAGTAAGGGCGTAGAACCGCTACCAGGGCGCATTCCAGTCTATTTCATCCCGGTTGGTGCAAAAGAGTAAGGAAGACGCTAAACCCTGTGCTGTTTTTTTTTCTATACGTGTATATCCAATTCGAAGGAACAATATATATTGCTTCCACCGACGCGGTCTTCTTTTGTTTCACTAAGATATCATACTCTACGGCGGCACATTGAACCCGAGGTGAAGATTCTCTTAATTGTAAATGTAAGTCTTTTAGAAAATCATATCATATTGTCACTATTGTTAAATATGTCTAAATTTAATTCTAGATGGTGGTTGAATTGTTTATTATTTTAATGTTTGGAAGATTTTTACCTTGTATCGCCATCAAAACATTTGTTTTTATTTAAATATTTCATAGAACCCATAAAATTTCAGACAGTTCCATTGATAAAGGACCCTTAACATGGCGAATAATGTTTTCAATCGTTTTGCATCAAGCTTTGGTAGTCGAGAGATCAGAAATAGAGAGCGTGGTAGTCGAGCGATTTGTTATAGGGGGCGTGGTGGTCGAGCGATTTGTTATAGGGGGCGTGGTAATCGAGCAATTTGTTATAGGGGGCGTGGTAGTAGATCAACCAGAGCGACCAGGAACATGGGCGTGATTGTAGAGCGATCAGGAATATGGGCGTGGTTGTAGAGCGATCAGGGCAATGTAGAGACGTGGCGCCGACGGGGCTGACGCGGAAAGTGTTCCTAGTTTTGGCGATGACACTAAAAGTCGAGGGTCATTCATGTATACATTGACGGGCACTTCAAAGAATCCCTAAACGTTCACGGTAACGTCGCTACCTGAGCAAAATTCTCAGATTATTTAACATTGTCTGAGATTATCTAAGTAATCCAGTAGTTTTTTTTAGCTGAGCGGATTGTCCCTTTATCTAAATCTCGTGTAGATTGCTCTTCATGTTTATAATTGTTTATTATGTTTAAATTTTCCTCTATTGTCACCGTTAGTCGACTTAACGTGGTAATATGGCGTGATTTAAAAAAATAACAACAAAAAAACAACAACAAAACAAAAGAATTTTACAAAAATATTATATCAGTAAAAAGTCACGTCTTCACTTTGTTTGAATAAGATTTTTTTGTCACATGTTCAACGTTAAATGTTTTAGGTCTAACTTGCTTATACTATGTGGAGTATTCTTTCAATGCAAACAATGGGACTAGAAGAACAAAGCGACGAGGAAAATGTTATAATAATGTACAAGAAACAGTTAGTGTTTTTATTGTGTTGGACATGTCTCGTCTGTATTATATTCACCTCGTACATGTTCAGTATAAACACTATTTCTATGTTAGATGTCGGATTGACAAGCAAGGTACATATGTATTTAATAAATAGTTAAAACATCCCACTTCTCTTCAACCGTTTGGTTATGGAAGAAGGGCATACGCCATAAACTCTTCTACTGGGTCAATTTTACCTGAACAGCCGCACTACGACCTACTCTTATTCCTAATTCAAACTGACAAAGGTTCTTGTACATGTACGCCGACATTAAAACCAGAAATCGTTTGATGTTCCCATTCGCATAGCTAAGGCGGTTCCATGCATGCGAAATGGAATTGGCACTAACCGTCCTGTACTACTGACATAGGGAATCAGGTTGTCAGGATCCGCGTCCACTCGGCAAACCTCAGCAAATTCCAGTACACTACATCTAGCCTCGGTTGTATGACGACGTCCACCATTGGAACCACTTTCAAGTTCCCAGATTACCAACGGCGTTGCTCATGACGACGCCTTTGAAGAATATTTTATCATACAAATATTTCAAAGTCTGAAGCTGTTTTTCTTTCAAGTTTATCAGATTTTCTTTAAAGCGAGAATTTCAAATTTTCTAAGAAAATCAAAACATAATTATTTCTATGTCTTTTGCTCAATAGGTTATCAAATCACTATTATACGATCATGGGCATTATTTCCCACCCTTAAAAATCTATGACACAGGAAATAACAACATAATTACCTCCCCTGTTTTACTATTGACAACATGGGGCAGTCATTTTCCAACGTTGGAATTTGAAGTTAAAAATGATATTTTTGCCAATTTCTCAGCTGGCAATAGAGAATTATAGGATTAATAGGATTATTCTTTAACAAGGTAGGACTGTTTATGGATACCATCTATTTTAAGGCTTTATTTTAATACATTTTAAAAATATAACTTGAAAATTTGTAAATTGCAACTTTAAACAAGGACAACTTTGCACTAAAAATTCTACACATGCTGCGAACGACGCAATTTTGATAGCTTCTTTTTAAAAGCGTCAAGTTTTCCTAATAGGTGAACCGGTGCCGCATCGCAATTGTATAGGCGTAGGTACATATCACTTACCGTCATACAGCCGAGGCAAGATGTAGAGTAACGGAATCTGCCGAGGTTTGCCGAGTAAATCCGCGTCCTGCACCACTAATACGGGGGAACCAGGTACTGGCCAACATCGGGATTAAAGTTTTGTAGATTTATGGTTATGTTCATTTCGATAATTTTAAAGGTTTTCAGAACATGGTCCCGGAACTAGTTAACGCGGACGGAATTTGGCGAGAGGGGGTGCCCTCATGGCACACACCCGTTTTCGTTACCACAGTATGCCGTTAAATCCCGATTTAGCTTATTTTATTTCTGGGGCTTGGGTGACCGAATGGTTAGAATGTGGGCGCTGTATTATAAGGCCTGTCATTGAGTCAACTGGCGGGGTTTCGGTTGTACGTGACAAGGAGTAGGGTCGCCTGTCCAACCTCGTGGGTTTTCGCCGGGTCCCCGGTTTCCCCCCACTGCTAATTACCCGTACGCGCAAGTGAATTATTGAAATAAAATTGAACCATACGTTAGTCCCAAAATGACCTAGTTTGTGTCGAGTGGACGTTAAACCCCATTTCTCTCTCTCTATTTTATTTCTGCCCCTATCGTAATGAATGACCTGACTGAACCGGTACTCGATAGAGAATAAATGGCCAGGATGAACCGCGTCTAGCAAACTGAACCAATGTCAAACAAACAATCTATTAACAAATCTATATGCTGGCGGATTAAACGCAATTACTAGTTCGACATTGTTTATTTAAGTAAAACCTTTTTTCTCTTTGATTGCCCCTGATTCGATATTGTTTCAATAGAATCCAAACAGTTTTGATTTTATTTACATCCGCTGCTGTTGTTTGACTATTAATATGGTGGTAAACGTTTTAGTTTCCATAGTAATATAGTGTTATTGTTGCTCGTGACGTTCAATATGGTAATATATTGTAATGCTATGGACATTTGGACAGGCGAGCGTATTTTTCCGCCCGATCTCGGCGATTGAAATTCGCCAGTGATTTTTTACGGCCAATAACGAACGGGCACACGGAGCGATCGTCTCGAGAGCGTACGCCGCCCTGTGAGTAATTATGTCGATCACGTGACTTGTCGATCACGTGACTTGTACAAAATGGCAGCCATTTTGAGATCATGTGATATCAAAGATGTCGATGATTGGCTTATAAAAATGAATCGCCCGATAATATACGCTGGACACAGGCACACAAGCGAATTTAATTGCCGGCGAAAAATATTCGGCCGAAAATATCTTAACATGCTAGATACGAGCGATTGATCGGGCGAATAGTTCGCCGAGCAGAATCGTCGTCGCCTTGAAGGGGCACACGGGCGTATTTTTCGAGCTATTTTAAAAATCGCCGCGATCGGGCGAAAAAATACGCTCGTCTGTCCCCCACTTTATTGTTGCCCGTGACGTTCAATGTAAAATCAGGTAAAGGGTTTGTTAAAACTCTATTTTTAAAGT